CATTATGTGGAAGACTGAGAGAATTGGAAATAACTTCAGGGATTTTCAGGTTAACCATTCTTGTGCTGATTGTCGAGAGTCACTGGACTGAGGGTTCCAATAATAAACCATTTCTCGAGAATTTCGAACACAATAACACGTGTGCTCACAGTGGACAGTATGAGGTAATTGATGAGTGTCATCCATGCACTGCATTTGAAATTGCCAGTGAGAGCGTTGGTGTCTGCGTTTACGCTAGATACAAAGAAGTAATCAAGTGTAAGACTGGAGAGAAGATTATAAGAAGCTGTGACAGAGTAGCCTGGCTCGAGGAAAACGCCTTCCTGAAGTTCGAGGGGTCCATGTTTGCCCTGTCAATTCTGTCCTGTCTCGCAGTATTCTGGCGAGAAAATGTCCTACGCAAGCGAATAATTCGAAAAGTAGCCCGACAACTTCGATCGAGTACTGTATGATAGTGAGCCCAACACTGCATACCTAAATCATTGAAAAAATGGAGGAAATTTATCTGGAGTTATTTTCTACCGAGGAAAATGAATTCCTGGCACCCATAGAGACACTCGTGGTGCTCTTTACGATGAAATACTGCGACTCTAGACTGAAAATCACTTTCATTCTCACGAAACAGTCCCATGGCGTGAACTCTTACCCAATCAACCTCGAAAATTTCTCCCACCAAATACTGAGTGATGAAATCCCAGAGAATGCAGACACCTGTCAACTGCCAAATCTAAAACTGAATAGCATGAGTCTAGTGGCAGGTCTGTGCGCCTGTTTGCGACAGATTATTAAGCTCTCCATTGCAGAATGTCCTGATCATTTCTGCAGAAATCTCCTAGGGTTCAAGACTTCTAGCCTGCTAGCACCATCCGAGTCGAGTCCCTGGACGAGATTTTGTGAGGTGGAATTAATCTCCACCCTGAGAACTCATGTGACCTCACCAGAAATACCGGAGACTATTGCGAGATTTGAAGTTCACATGTCTCAACCGCTTCGACTCCACAATATTTATAAATACACGATGTCGAAGAAATTCTCACGTGATGGAACAGTGACCCAGGATCGTATTGTTCCAGAGCATTTGTACGCTGAGGGATCATTCATGACTCTAGCAGACACTATAATATTCCTGTGCATTAATGTTTACCTCAGATTTTTCACAAATCCTCGAGTACTCGATCTCATTCCATTGACTGCCAAATGGTACAACAAGTTGATGACTGATAAGCATTTGAGTAGATGTTTGAGCTTTATTACACTTCAATCAACATCTCCATTAAATATTGACTATTTTTTACCAGATGTACCTAATCAGAGTTTGTACAAGAGCGATGCGAAACGATACAGACCTAAGAATAAAATCTATACGAAACAGGAGGACGTGGAGAACTCCTTGGAGATAATAAAAAATACTGGAATCGATTTGGGAATGAGCAAAAGGCCTCTTGGAGCTGA